GAGAAGTGGCTGGCCAAGGTCACCAAGATGGCTTTCAGAGAGGATTAAAACTGGGTTTCTCCAGTTCTAATCCAGCACCTTTACCACCACATCAAAGGCCTCTCATACATCCAATTTTCCTAAATCTAAACTAGTTTTTCATGGAAATTGTGAAGCCAAGTCAAGTCCAAAAACATTAGAGAATTCCTGGAGGCCTGGCATTCTGGCAATTGAGTCATCAACAGACTTCAATAACATTTACATACTGTGCAAAAGGCATAATCAACAGGCCAACAAAAGGAGCAAAGGACCAAAGTACATCTCAAAAGCAATTCAGTGCTAGAAGGGCATAGATCAACACCAAGACTAACATCAAATCAATAATCAAGAAGTGAACAATATCGCACTCAAAGAATTAACAAACAAGCAAACAGCAAACAGCCCCACCACAAATCCAATGGTTGACAGGGCAAGTCGGTAGAATATAAATTGAGAGCACACCCCCATTCCCTGCTAACATTGATAATGTTATGGTTTAGTAATGAAACATCTACAAGAAAACAACCAAGCTCAGAGTGCACCAAGGACCTCTCATTTCAACCCTGAGGTACAAACATATACTTTTATTGGAAAAACAGCTGATTTTTGAGCTTCCATTAATAATTCTGATGAAATAGGTCACTTTTAATTGTTTTCATAATAAATCCATTTAGGACAATTGGAACAAACTACATAGCAGGTGATTTTTGCCAGATCACAAGAGAAACTGTTACAGAGTTCAACAAAACTGCTGTTCAAAGTTTATCAAAATTGTAATTTTTACAAGAGCAAAATGAGGTTGATGGATGAGTTATTAATGTAGTTCTTGGCAGCTAAAGTTCATGTGGTTTGCTAGACAAATTTGAAGGGAAATAGCCTTGCAGTAAATGTGGGAAAAGAACAACCTTGAACTGAATATATGTAGCAAGCAAATATTTTAAAGGCATTTCTGCTGATTTAGTGGATCAGAATTACAAAATCAGAGACAAATAAATATTTGCCATTATTGAAATGACTCATAGGAAATGGAATTTCAGATGTGACTATGGAATAATAAAAATAAAGCTCGAGGCTGAATTTATAAATGCATGGGAAAATGTTCAAATCTTCTTTTCAAATATTATTCTTGCTGTTAGAGATATTGGGAAAATTCTGAAGAAGTAATTCTAGGTAGTGTTAAAGAGTTCTGAGTTACAGAGTGAGAAAGACAAAAACAAAGAAGCTATTTTTGTTTCCTTATATTTAACACCGCCCTTTCTGGAATATAGCAAATGAATTACAATATAAAGTTCCAATTAACTTTCTGTATAATTCTTCTGAGAAGGAACAGCTAGTCCAACACCAACCCCCTCACCTCAGAATTTTCACTGCGACATCAGGAAAAAAACCCACACAAACTATTCAACCTTGGACATACTGTGGTAAAAAATGATGAAAGATTTGCAAAAGTAGTCTTTGATGAAGCTAATAAAATGCATTATAATTTAGAGGAGGAGGAAATCTTTTTACACAGTGATTACTGTTCAGTTTGAGCTGGAGAGGAACTGTTTCAAGAAACCTTGCTATATACCAGTGTTTTAATGGACTTCAACTCCAAGAATTTCCCAGCCAGCAAATCAAAGATGTTAAAACAGTAGAATATTTAAACAGCTTAATATAATGTAATGCTGCACTAGAAGGAAACTGAAGATCATAAAAGGGGACTTTGTAGTCAAATTTTAATGGGGCACCAATTCATCTACTACAGTTTCCTCTTTAGTTGGTTCTTTTTCATGTGGCGTTGATACAAATCCCTGATAATCTGTTGAGTTACATTTGGATCTGTTCCAATATAAAGTATTGTTTGAATAAAAAATAATATAAGAAGCTAAAAGAGCTTGAAGATGAATATTATTTGCACATTGATATCAAGATGGTGATTTGTATCTGAGCCATGTAATTCTGCAGGACAAATCCAGCATTTTTGCCACCTGATGCACAACACAAGAGCCTTCTATTCCCAGTTTATAGACTAGATCCAACAAATTTTACAGTTAAAGTTTTACTTCAAAAGTTGGAGGAAGAATAGCAAATTTCATCATATTAAAGGACAGCAGACAAGTTTAGTGGGTTCCCAAAGCAGTATCTCATGTAAATGTGATTAATAAATAAAATGAAATCATATGTCTGCCCTCCTAAGAGATCCTACTACTAATCCCCATCTCATAGTGATTGGGTTCATATATTGTATTAAGCCAGTCATTGAATAAACCCCTACTGATTGATTTTGTACTATAAAGCATGGTTTATAAGTGAGTTTGTCTCGGTTCACACATTGTGCTAAAACAATACCAATCACATCACTTAGTGGGTTATCTGAAACCTGGCTATTGTCATTTTGTCTTACAAAAGCACTGGTCTTGGGTACATAAAAGTGTTGCCACAGTTTCACCCCATTTTATTTGAGTGCAAGTTTATATATTTTGGGGGCCAGTATCCCCATGACCCTGCTTATTTGTTGGCTTGCATTAAAATCAGTATCCCTCTTTTTTGCTAGGGATACAGCACATAAATAGCATTGTATATACATTGCAGTGCACAGTATGGACTGAACAGCTGGGTTTGTGGATATCACACTTAGGCAGCTCATGTACCAAAAAACATAATAATATTCAGGTAGCCCTTGATTTCTGATCAGTTGCTTAGTGATCATTCAAAGTTATAATGGACCTACGTCAAGGGTATGTATGACCTGGATTCAAGTTCCAACAGTCATGTGATAGAACTTTGGGTGCTCAACTACTTGGCCCCATTTATGTTTCCAGGATCTGAGATCATATAATTATGTTTTATGATAATTTTGCTGAAAACTGGCATTTACTTTTGGTGATGAATATCTGTAACTTGGGTGGAGGTTGAGGGTGGAGGTTCTTTCTCTGAGCTTGCGGATTGGTTTCCAAATATTTTGTCACTAGGCTAGGTAACATCTTTAGTGGAATTTAGGGAATTCCATAAACTCTGCTGAAGATGTTACCCAGCTTGGTAACGAAAAGTTCAGAAACCAACCCTCAAGAAAGAACCTCCACCCTCATTTATTTCTGGGTTTTTATAAAACTTGGCCCATGGCAAACCATTGATTTACTTAATGACCATGATGTTTGTTTAATGATTGCCACAAAAAAAGTTGTAAATTTGTATTGGTTATATGATCAACCCACTAAATGACTGTCATGACTTACAACCATTATGAACAGGCTTCATTATATAGTATGTCATAAGTTAAAGACTATGCTCAAAATCACTAGAAGAATCTCCTTTGCTTTTTGCTAAATTAGTAAAGTGATGCTGTCCACCCATCAAGTTCAAGAGCCATACTATGGTAGGTGCTATTAAGTCAACAGGTTGTAGTCCATTGTTCCAATTATAGATGATTTTCTCTAATCTTCATCTGATCTTCACCTGAACACATCCAACAAAGGGGAAGCACTACTTCTCTGATTAATGGTTCCACTGTCAAAAAGCACTTACAATTCAGAAGTAATTTTCCTCTCATACATATTCAATAATAATATGTTCCTGTAATTTAAATACATTATTCAGTGCTCTATTCAATGTTATATCCTGTCAAGTATTTGAAAAACATGACCATAGCTCTTGTTGGTTTCTTCTCAAAAATAACCATCCCTCTTCATTTAACCCAGTGTTTTTCAAACTTGGCAACTTCATGGTGTATGGACTTCACAAATATGTGAAGTCCATTCCGGGAGCTGAAGTCTACATGTCCAATAGTTTAAAAATCAAGGATTATATATCTCTTGCCAGTCACCTGTTACTCTCATTGCTATGCTTTAAAATGTTAAAGATTGCCTGAATCAGAAGCCATAACTAGTCATGGTATTCAAGGTAGAGTGGGCATATCAAATGCAGAACAAAGTGCAAGTAGAATTTTTATTTTAAAACTGTATTTCTGTATATGCTACCTAAAATTATATTTGCCTTTTGGTTTTGATTTTCTTCCCTTCAAGCATATCACATTATTGGTTTCAGTTTAGCAAAATTTTGAAGCAGACATTGAATGACTCTCAATCCAAATCCCATATTCAGTTTACAATTTATTAATACTGCAATTTATCCATAGAATTTCTGCTTCCTTAGAAAATAATTTTGCAATCATCTCTATTAAATAATATTGATATTTTATCCCGTTTCTTTTATAAAAACTACTAAATTTTATTTCTGTTCTGAAAGATATCCTATCCAGTTTTACATCATCAGCAAATTCAGGAAAGTTTCATGTCTTTATCCAAGTAATAAAAAATGTTTCAGAACTCAGGATCTACGATATTACCTCCACTCACATGTACTGTAGGAAGCCCTCCCTCCCCAGATTAAAATATTATTTATTCTTAATATTAAAATGAGGCAGAATATGATATTTCTCCAAAGGAGAAATTCAGGAAAAATAAATCTTAACAAAGGCAGAAAATAACTCCAGTCTTTCTTTATAGCCTCAAGTTTTTAAACGATGGATTTTTGTATCTATGAAGGAAGACTGGGTCAATCTATTCATAAACAAAATGCCTTCTGCCCTTACATCTGAAGGGATTAAGAATTTACACCCCACATCCAAATTCTAAAGACAGGACATGACCTTTAGGATTAACCCACCACCATTAGAATAGCAAAAAAAAATACTACATTGCACAATCCCCCTAGCCTAGAGCAGTGTTTTTCAACCACTGTGCCATGGCACACTAGTGTGCCGTGACATAGTGTAAGGTGTGCCGTGGGGAAAATACTTTATATATAGTCAATATAGGCACAGAGTTAATTTTTTTTAACATTTTCTAATGGTGGTGTGCCTCGTGATTTTTTTCATGAAAAAAGTGTGCCTTTGCACAAAAAAGGTTGAAAAACACTGGCCTAGAGCATCTTAATCACAACATCCCAGAACCCTATAAAGATCCATCCATTCACCTCGTAAAGGGTCAGTCACCCCAGAAACATTGCTGCTGACACTGAAGTTTCTGGAAACCAAATAAACCTTCTTTCCTTGCAGCCAGTCAGACTCCATTTAATTTCCAGCGACTTTCTCCTGGCTTTGAATCGGAACGGATTTTTCTTCCTACAGTACCTTACTCTAATTTGATAAGTACTCTGAGCTCAATTTTTGAGTCAGGTATGTAGCCACCTATCCCGCTCAAACTCAAGTAGCATGCTAAGCAGAATATGGGCTGTTTGTAAAGTGCTTTTCTGCAATGAAGTTAAACTACATCTCCAGCATTCCCTCAATCTAAGGATTCTATCCAAACATACCTTTGATTAAGTTCATTTGGCAAGATCTGTTTTTGACAGCTCATGCTGACTGCTGGTAATTATCAGATTGTTTTCAAGTTTCTTAAAAATAAAGATTTGTATGAACGGCTGTAGAATCTTTTCATGTACTGACATCAGATTGGCCCTAGTTGTTGATATCTAAGAGGCCACCAAAGCTCACCTATAAGAAGCAACTTAATCTATAAAAACATTTCCCATCTAAATTTTCTATCATGACATAGAATAAAATCATATAAGGTGAATGTTTGGATAATTTTCAGTGATAGTCAAATTCAATCACTGTTGCAAGAAATCTTACAGCAGGGAAGAGGGAAGACGAAAGCAGGTGCCAGTACCAATGAGGCCTATCAGAACAGCTGCCCAAGTGTGCTAAGAGCTGGGCAGGCCTGAGACACAAAACAAACACTTTCTATTTACTCCGATTAGAATGTTTACAAGGTAGCTAAGGAGGCGTAATTGATCTGAATTTAGCAGTACTATGTATGCTCCCTTTTCTGTGCTCTACCTGTCAATATCCCTTTCTCATTTATAAGTCCCTCATAAGCTTGTGTTTAATGCAAATCTTGCATTGTTTATTTCTTAAATTAAAAAAGAGGAAAACAAAATAAAACATAATGTAATGTTCATCCTTTGGAGAAACTTCACATGAAAATCAGGACCCGATCCTAAAGTTTCAGATGGCTCCCTCGTTAACTTCATTAGCAAATGTAATGAACCTGATGAGTCAACATCAGCTTCTCTTCAGCTGAGAAATGTCCTCAAAAACAGGCTTATGAAAAGCATCTCCTTCACTTGGCCATTATTTTTCATCCCGTTCCCCATCAGAAAAGAAATTGGGGTTTTCGGGCAAAGTAGCCCTGATTTTCTTCTTTTCTTTGAAGCGTCCAGAATTGGAAACTTTGACATGTTTCCCTTTGGTACTTTTGTCCACAATTTTCTCTAGCCGGGCATTGAATTCTTGCTCATTGTGGCTTCCACTGCTCCCATCTGCTGGCGTGCCCTCTTGTACACTCTCATCATTGGCCACTCCATAAATATCTGGACTTTCATACAATACCTTTGGAGTTGATTTTTTCTTTCGGAGGAAGGTGAACTTCCACCAACTATAATTATTTTCTGCCATGGTGCCAACAGGAAGGATCAGTTACCCTTGGGAAAGGGGAAAAAAACACATATCTGTTATGATCTTGTGACATTGGCAGGTTCTCCCCCCCCCCCCAAAAAATGATCAATAAGAATTCATATTTAGAATTCTGAGCTTCATATTCCTCATGTACGCATAATAAATACCTCACTCAAAATCCCTATTTTCATTCCAAAAATAAATTATGCAAGTTAGATGGATAACATAAGCAAGAAACTATGAACTTTCTCTCTTGATCTGTGCCAAAGCCCTTATGCCTTAGAGAAGAAAATGTGTAATACAAATAATGAGGACAAAATCAGATTCCATGTATGTAGGAAAGATTTATTTTTGATGTTTAAGTATCCCAAGAGCTACGCTGATTTAATCCATGCATTATGCCAAGCTAAACAAGCCAGTTGTAATGTGCAGAAGGAATAAACTTGAGGAATAGAAGAAAGAGCCAGAATCAAAATAACAGTCAGAAATCTGAGGCTGGGCAAGAATTGAGAAATCATCTCAAGACAAGATTCTTTTGAGTTCTCACAATAAGGGGGTGAGGACGACATTCAGACTTGCAATATCCTGTTTCTACAACCAATAAAAGTAGCGTTGGCATACATAACTTTAGTTTCCTAATCTGGTGCTAACCAAGTGTCTTGTGAGTCCTTTTAAATGATCCATATGGGCCAGCCTTGGATAAGAGAAAAATAGGCTACAGTTATATCTTCTTGCTGAATAAAAAAAGTCCACAAACAACTACAATAATTTTTATTCTTTCCAGCTAGGTGGCAACTTGAAAATTAAGTAGAATTACAATTGGTTAGCATTTGGTGACCACCATGATACTTTAAGTCTAGACGGTGGAATATTGAAAAAAAATCCTTTAAAAGGGAATAGGAAAGAAAACTGCATGGAATGCTTACTAAGTCAGCAGGGGAACTCAATTTGGAAGTTTATCTTTAAATTATTATTATGCATTGATTATTATTTTTCAGCTTCTAGCTCGATTCAGGATTTTATATTTGCTCAAGGTGTAACTTCTTGTTTTAAATCTATTTGGATCAAGAGCAAGGGCAGGAGCTAAATTAAAACATTTGTTTCCTGTATGATCTGAGGATATTGAAGCTTAAGATACCATAATAGTTTACAAATAGACAACCTTACTGAAAGAAAAGACTGAACTCAACCCTCTGTTTGAAGGCTTATCTATTCCCTGTAAGCCAAGCAAAAGATAACCTTTCTTCCATCCCATGTACTGTACGTCCTATATTAGAACCCATTCACTGTGTCCATAGATTTCTGGGGGGGCTGCTAAAATCCAATCTTATCTTCCAGGTCAGAAGTGGAACCAGAGAGAGATATTAGAAACATAGATGAATGGTAATCTTTAGTATAACAACTGCTATATCACTCAGTCCGGTGTTCTTCAACCAAGTATCCTCCAAATGTGTTACATTATTTTTAAGCTTGGTGACTAAGTTACAGATTCAAATATGCTGTTCCCAAAACCATGCTTAAACTTTATTTTAAGACATTTAATGTTTCTCTGAAGCACATGACCTATTGCATTTTCTTTTCTTTTTTTACTCATGTTCTCTTTGTCCATCAACCTGGAATCCCCCCCCCCCCAATGCTGGCTCAGAATTATGGGAGTTGTTTCAATAAACGACTAGGGTTGGAGGTTGGGGAAAGGAAGAAAGGAGGGGTCCAGGACCCATTTTTATTGGATATGATAGATAACTAGATAAACTATCTACCATGTCCTCACATCACATATTAACTACTTCCATAGGGTGGAGATAACGGCAGAGAATGCTCTTTCCTAGACCCTGCCAGTTGGAGTTCTTTAATTGGGAGGAGGTCGGCAACATACATTCCTTGCCTGACTGAGTGGGATGAAGCTGGGTCTATAGGCAGCCTGGTTCTATTCCATGTAGGGCTTTACAGGTCATAAGCAACATCTTGAATTGAAGGAAACTGGCACCCAATATAGTTCATAGAGTAGAGATGTTAGATGTGCCCTTCTTTGGGCACCCAATATAGTATTTAGCATTTGATTTCATCCATCCTTGAAAGGAATCTAATAGGTTGGGAGCAAGGCAATTTGAAGAGATCAGAAACTGAAATATTCTGCACAGATGTATCTTCTTTTTCTCCATATACACAGCAAGAAGGAGACATTTGCCAGAAGAACCCTCTTGCTAGAATGGCATAGTATTTGACTCTAATCCAATGTTTTACATGTATAACAGAAAGCAGAGCATTTTTAAAACTTACAAATTGATGGACACCTTTGAAATAGGCAGTAAAATAAATAAATGTATCAAGACATACATTTCTTTTGTCTCCCAATTCTTAGGACATAATTGAGCAAACTAATGTTCTTCACATGCTTTGGATTACAGTTCTTATGATCCCTTGCAATTTGCTGTTTTGGTTGGAGGTAAATAAGAAAATTCAAAATTTTTATCAATTTGCCTGACTTCTGAGCTAAAGAATCAGACCCTATCTTTGTTAAGCATATTTTAGCAGTAACTCAGGTTTGCAAAAGTGAAATATGCAAAACAGATACTCAGTGGGTTGTCTGAGATTTTTTTTTTGTTTCCCTATCTTATTTGAAAGCCAAATAAAGTTGTTCCTTCTTATTCTATGTTTACAACAATCTTGTAAAAGATTAGAGCAAGAAATTATATCTTGGTCTGGGATCATCCAGAGATTAGGAATAAGTATGGATGAAAACAGACGTTTGCCCCATTTTGATTCAAAACTCTGCCCACTGAAGTTTTATTTGTCTTATCTTTACATCTGCTGTTATGATTGATTAAACATTTGTGAAGGCTACAAAACACAGCATTCCCAGGTGTGGAGTGAGTTTCCTTCCCCTCTTCCCTTAAAAATGCCATTAACAACATACCTGATTCGTCTGATGTCTGATTTGTCCGTCACTGAACAGTATCTTCAACTCTTGTGGGCAAAGCCCAATATGGAGAAGACGTGAGGTAGAACGAGACGTTGAATTACTTTTGTGCAAAACTGGCAGAGATGGCTATGGCAATCAGTAAAAATGTGATTCTCACGTCTCAGGTGTGTGGAGGTGCCACATACCTATTTGTGCTCCACTTCTCTCTCCCTTCCTCTGTATGTCAAGGTTAACTAGGGACTGAGCCACTCCTGCCTAAAGTAAACAGGAGCGAATAGTGGCTGAACAGGGACAGATTTGAATATTCATGATGAGGGAAATCTAAGCTGAGACCTTTTGCTGCCTTAGAGCAATTCCATTTGACTTTACCTGCAGAGAAGGAGGAGATGGTATTTAAGGTGGGGGGAGTTAAATTCCAGAATTTCAGCCCTTGGATGTTGGGAATGCATTCATGAAGCCTTAAAGATTTATTTACTGAGTCAAAGTTTTAAAAAGGTAAACACTTTACTTCCTTAAGTGGATTATGTTGATAACCACTGGGAATAAATGCATATGCCCACAGAGGCTTAGACTTTATAAATGCAAACTGAGTTAACAAGACAAAATTTAAAACACCTAGATTGTAAAGAATTGCACCCTGATAAGTGACTGGCCTGCAGGGTGCAAATTCTCATATGGGGACACTATTATTCTGCAAGAAAGTAAATCTATAATATTGTACACTGTCAACTTATTGAAGATAATTTTCCTCAAATTCAATTTTTGGTGATCTGGCTAGTTTATTTTTTTCTGCCAGAATCAAATGTGGGAATCAACCACTGAAAAACATGTCAACTATAAAGTAAACTGAAAATTCACAAAAATTATATGAGTTTTAATTTTAAGAGTCACATATACTATACATATAATTTTATGTCACAGTAATCAAATGATAAATGTGTGAACTAGTGTTTTATAAATACCTGTTTTGTGACTTCTAGTTCCAGTTACTGTATTTATTATAATTGGACATTTATTTTATCCTTCTAATCACCCAGCAATATAGGTAGGCAAATAAATGAAACATAATGTGTTAGGTATTTATAGTTGCAGCATAGTGTGAAAACCTCCTATTGGTCATATTTTATTACAATAAACAAAAAGTTTGAGGGCAAAATTTAGTGGTCACATAGTTCTATTCATGAATTGGTGGAGTAAGAAACATTTTTGAAAACTTGCCTTGAATATTTTGGGTATTCTAAAAAGCCTTACTGAAGTTTTAAGCTTTTATAATAAAAGCTTCAAGGTAGATGGGAAGGGTTTAATTTTGTATTAATTCATTTTTAAATAAATATGAAACTATTTGATCACATAAAATAATTTTATCATCTGGAGATTTTAAGAAACAGAGAAAAAAATTCCCTCCAGAGATATATCTGAGTTCTGCTTTAGTTCATGCTGGGGCTTGGACCTCTGTAACACTGAGCAAGGTTAACTGGAGTTTTTTTTTAAAAATAATAAGGAAATAGTCTTGCCTATTACTAATGATGTTTGCAAAGCTTTCAACAATTTATGATTATTTGTTATTTATACAGTGTCTCAAAGATACTGGTTCTTTGTGGAACAGTGTAAATATACAAATAAAAAAATATAAATTTGAGTTTCCAATCTGTTTCCAGTCTAAACTGAACAACAGCAACAAAAAAACCATTCCTTTCCTGGCTAAATTTTCCATGTCAGATAAGCCCAGTAAAAGGTCCTGGTAAATGAAGATCAATTTATTCATCTATGTAATCCTCCAAATCCAACTTTGTGGGATACAAAATGTAATTTTCTAGATGTCAAAGCAATATGGGGACAGCAGAATATATACCCACTGAAAAACGAATTCTCAGCTTAATCCACTTTACAAAGAACTCCTTGTTAAAATAAAACGAAATAACTCTTAAACTGACATTTAATTTGATATTGAACAGGTGGAACTTCCTGGTTCCAGTTCGTACCAGTGCCAAGCAATCTTCTAATGTCTATTTCTTTATCCTTCATTGAAACCAAAGGGTTAACATCTCTAGTTCTTACTAGTTTGGTTCTTTTACATCTATTCTTTTCATTGGAGGATTAATCAGACTAGACTCTGGCTCAGGCACTCATCAGACCGGTTTATATTTCTTTTCTTTTTCTTTCTGTGTTAGGTTGAGGGAATAATTTGTTCCTTTTCCTGTTCAGCTGCCAACAGCTTCCAGTAATCCAGGTTAGAGACCATTCAGTTGTTTTCCCAGGCAAATCATTATCCCAAAACAGCAAATATTTCCAATGAGAAAAACATTGTACAGTATTTAGAGTGGAAAAGAATCTGTAATTGTAATTGTTCAGAACTGAATCTATTTCCCATAATTCAAGTTTATATCAGTTCACCATTTTGGGACTGATGTCTTAATGGCATTCCAAACTCACTTGGTTACCCATTCCTAGTCATGAAACCATGACTCTTATAATTTCTAAAACTAGAGACGGGGCAAAGGTAATGTGAGAAAGGTCGGGCTTCCTTCACTCATTTATAACCCATATATTAATTTATTTACTTCCAGCTTAAATTTGTGTGTCACTTGAATCTACCCTCATTATAGACAAATTTAACTCCATTTATGTTCCATTCAAAAGATTGGTGCTTTAGTTAAATATATTACTAACATTCTCTGATCCCTGGACAGTAAGTATGTTTAATGGGTTAAATCCAAACTTTTTAGAGAAGGAAGTTCAACTGATTTTAAGATCTATTTTCTAGGCATGTCTAAGTCCAAACTCAACACCAACAATCTGGAATACATCAATAAGAGTTGGCAAAATGTTTTTGTTACTGTAAATTTGCTTACCACAATCTGATGCCCTAGATATTTATTAGATCTTTAAGAGGCAAAGATTCTATAATCTAATCAATATATAATCTACAGGTGAACATGACTGGAGAAAACTCACACATAAGTCAGAAAAGGGACATCCATTCTTCTCATCATCTGCCTGGAAGTTATAAATAGTAGTGAGATTGTATACTATCTAGAATGTCAAAATGTAGTTAATTCTCATTCAAATCATTCAGACTGGAACATAAAGTTGCTTATAATAAAATGTCTTGTGTCGTCCATTTATGAAAAGTTATTATCTTCGCCGTAAGCAAACACATGGACTGAATGCTGAGCTCTGTAATTTCACTTTTTTATCAAAGGCAGTCTCATCTTAAAATACTATTATTAAAACAAAAGCCCGAAAATATTCACAATTCAGTTTGGAAATTTATTGGTGCCAAATATTCTACCATGTACATAAAACATTAGAATTGCTGGACAATTCAACTTGGAGAATAGATGTTTTTGCATTGTTTGCTATTACTATTATTATTACTAGGTTATGCAATTCCAACATTAACTTCTGATTGGAACAAATGGCTACTTTTGAAAAACAAAAATATTATAAGTTATTTTCCAATGTGACCTTATAGTCCTGTTATTCTTTAATTTACTTGAAGGCAGTCTCATTGTGTAATCATATCTCAGCATCCAAGTAATAAATAGCTGATGTAATGGGCAGCCTTGGATTACCAAAGAACATGAAGGAATTATGACTACCGTTTTATCTTGAGCTGTCGAATATCTGAATACCGTACTATTCTCTGACAGGTTTTGCTAGTGAATAAAGATAATTGTTTCACCTTAGAGAATTTGCGGATTGACTTAAACCTTTCGATAATCCTTTTACCACTGGTCATGTCCTTAGCTGAAACGCTTTAGCATTTCCGCTTCATCTACATTAGGGTTCAAATTTGCACGTGCACCATTCGCTCATGCAAAAGTAGCCTCGTCAAAGAATCTGAATCTGTGTGCAAATTTTGATCACCACCTGCCGACCGATACCGTTTCCTAACTGCTTTCCTCTGCCTTCACTCGCTCCGCCCGCAAAGCCCCCGCCCCCGCAGCTGCCGTGAGCTTTTTTACGCGTGTGAGTTTCTGCTGGCCAATCACAGAAATGATGCGTGGCCTTGTACAGTTCCCTCCTTTCACTTCCCACATAAGGCGGGCTCTGCATATTGGAACTTGCATTCGTTATTGGCTACGGCGGAAGAACTCTGTCCTGCGTCTGCTTCGATTGGTTGTTGAGGCGGAAGAATAGCATCGTTGAAGAGAAGCGAGTTCTTTTGGCGGCGGAGGCAATAGAAATTATGCAGGTGGGAAAGAACATGTAATGATAAGGGGGTGTTGGTGGGAAACAGCACTTTGGTTATTTGAGCGGGGGGTAAACACCTCCTCCTGAGATTGCTCCGCAATCACTGTTTCTAGGCTTGAGAATAAATAGACTTGGAAGGGACCTTAGAGGTCCTCTATTCCAACTCTCTACTCGTGCAGGAGACCCTATTTTGCACCTACATTAAACTTCCCTTGTTTAATTCTAAAAAGGAATGCCACGTACTTTCCTCCGTTAATTCTTATAATTCTAGCTTCCTGGATGCAGTTACCAAGAGTGAATATAACACTTTTGGAAACACTGACTCATAAAACAAATCTTTCAGAAAGTCTACAGAAGGGCTCAAACGAAGTCTTACCTCTGATTTCATTCATGTTTTTTTTTAAAATCTGTAGAGCAGCGTTTCCCATCCTTGGCTACTTTAGGTCCTGTGGACTTCAACTCCCAGAATCCCCCAGCCAGGTGGCTGGGGAATTCTGGGAGTTGAAGTCCACAGAATTATAGTCACCAAGGTTGAGAAACACTGCTTTACAGGGAGTCTTCCACTTCGAGGCTCCAAAGCCTTTCCTGTTTCTGTTTCAAAGCAACTTTATTTTTTAAAATTGCTATTTATTGTCTGTGAGAGAGACATCTTGCTTTTATTTATTTTAAAATATTGTATTCTGGAAGCTACAGATTCTTAACAGATTTTATTCACATTTGTGTAATACAGTGTTTGTCAACCAAAGCCTCTTTAAAATGTGTGAATTTCAATTCCTTAAATTTCTGTCTAGGAGGAAATTCTGAGAGTTGAAATCCACACAACTTAAAAGTTGCTGACATTGAGAGACACTGGTGTAAGCATGCGGGTAGTTAACATAGTCACAGAAATCTAAGACATTTGGAGGAAAGGTTTGCACCTAAAAAGCTGTTTGATTATTTTCATCTAATTTCCATGTATTTTGGTGTGCTGAAAACAAATAAAATATTGAAAAAACTCCTAGACGTCATGATTTGCCACAATATGCAAAATTGTCTTCAAATTTATCATTTTTTTTAATTTTTGGTATTTTTATAT